TTTTCTTCTAAAAATCAATAAAAACATATTTTTTTAAGTATATTTTATTGACTTTTTACAGAGAGAAAGGGAGAGGGACAGAGAGTTAGAAACATCGATGAGAGAGAAACATTGATCAGCTGCTTCCTGCACACTCCCTACCGGGGATGTGCCTGCAACCAAGGTACATGCCCTTGACTGGAATCGAACCTGGGACCCTTCAGTCCGCAGGCCGACGCTCTATCCACTGAGCCAAAACCGTTTAGGGCCACTAATAGTTTTTAACAGCTGAAAGCTGTACCCCTGGCGTGACCCTTTCCCCTTAAAATGTCTGCCTGAGAAAAGGGCCGGAATAATGACAATTTGTTCCAACCAAAACCTGGTAATAGACTGATAAACCCCTGAACGCCCACCCCTCTGAGCTGTTACTTTAGAAAGCTTGGTTTGTTATTCCTTTCTCCTGATTCAAGATGTAGATCTTCCACCACCCAGAACCGCCTTCTCGGGTAACTGAGAGGCTCTCTCTGAAATGCAGAAGTCCAGGAAAACACCTCCTGCTCTCCCTGCCAGGCCCTGGGCAACTTGCTGTAACTTCCACCAATACCTTCCATCATAAAGAGACTAGCAGTTTGTTTCTCCTCCAGATAAGCACCAATTAACAAACCCTGTGTCTGCGGGAGCCTCGCTTGTTCCTTCATCTTCAAAATGCCCATCACCTCTGCACTAACCAGGTCATGTCAGTTCATGCTGGACCCTCTTCCCATCACAATGGTTGTTCTGAGTAAATTCTACCTTTACCACTTTAGTGCCCAGCTTCTTTTTGACAAAGGTCAGACCTACATTTTCTATCTGCCTGAGGGAGGGTTAGACAGAAGATCACAGTGCTGACAAGGCTAAGGTTATGAACTTGATCTCCATGTGGCTCTGTCCATATGTCACATGTGTACACCTCTGTCAGGCGTTTCACAAGTGCCTTTCATTGATCACGAGGGATACCAGGTGAGAGTAGAGATGGCTCAGCACAAACCATTTGCTGCTGCTTTTTTTTGTTTGTTTTTGTTTCTTATTATGGCTTGAAGAGCTCAAATACACAGATGGTGAGGCTGATGGCCATCACTTTGTATACCTCAGCCAGAAGAGAATCTTAATGGCATCCCTCATGTTCTCCCCTCCCCCAAACACCCTTCTCCCTCTTTGTTTCCTGTCCTTTTAGCCTAGTTCATGGTCTTCCTTTTCTCCCAGTTCTTTCTCAAAGCCTCCACCTCCCACTTCCTCTCAGTGCAGATGAGCATTCATCTTCTGTAGCCTGTTTCATTTTGTTACCACCAATGGCTCATGATGGTTCATATATTTATGCTTTATCACTCTTAAATATTCCACCTCTTTTGTTTCATTAGACTAACTACACTGAAACTATTCAGTGGAATGCATTTGAATATTCCCATTGAGCTTTCCAATGGCTTTCACAAATTTCAGCAAAAACGTTGGGTTCCTTCATCATTTCTAGGATGGGCAGTAGCCTATGTTATAACTCTCAAAAAGCTTACAAATTTATACAGAATCAAGCCAGTGTTACTGAACTCTGTACAGAGTAATCTGTTTCCTGTGGATAGTTTCCAATGTTACGTGATAATACAGTAATATATTTTACCACAAAGGAAAATCATGTAGTTTATAGCATTACAATAGCCAGTTCTTTACAATCACATTGCTGTTAGCCTACATTTTCATAGCTTTATAGCATGAAAATACATACTTTGTGCCCATTTAAAATATTTTGTATTTTCAGGAATATGAAATAATCCTTTCAATGGGCATAATACATTTAACTTAGATTACTCATATGCTAAGATTCAGAAAGGATCCTCCAGAATGTTAATTTTCCCATTGTGTCCCATGCTATTGTCGGATGTAATAGGTTCCTGTTGCTGCTGTAACAAATTGCCACAAACTTCAGTGGCATAAAACAATGCACATTTATTACTTTATAGTTCTGGAGGTCAGAAGTCTCGCAAGGGTCGCAATGAACTAACAACAGGTGTCGGAACTGAATTCCTTTATGGAGGCTCAGAAGAGAATCTTGCCCTTTCCAGTTCCTAGAGGAGGCCTGCATTCCTTGGCTTAAGCCCCGTTTCTATCTTCGAAGTCAGCAATGGCTGGTTGAGCCTCACAGTGGAAATGACGGATAACTCAATGAATGGAGTTGGAACAATCGGCTACCTCACGTTTTAGAAATATATTTAGCTGAATGTCTACCTATCTCCTTAAACCAAATTAAATGTTAGATAAATGAAAAGATATGAATGTGGAACTTTTTAAAAAGACATATATTTTATTGATTTTTCACAGAGAGGAAGGGAGAGGGCTAGAGAGCCTGAAACATCAATGAGAGAGAAACATTGATCAGCTGCCTCCTACACGCCCCCCACTGGGGACGTGCCCGCAACCAAGGTACATGCCCTTGACCAGAATTGAACCCAGGACCCTTGAGTCCACAGGCCGACGCTCTATCCACTGAGCCAAACCGGTTCTGGCTGAGTGTGGAACTTTTGATGGTGTCAGCTGACTGCACTGAAGCATCAGTATCTTCAGTTCTTTCATATCAGTCCTATTGCTGCTGGGGTTTGGAATGTGGCCATGAAACAGTCCTTTTTGTTTAAGCCAGGTATCCTTGGGTTTATATCACTTCAAACTGAAAAGCCATGGTTATTATATAGTAAATTCTCAAATGTATTTAAGTATATTTTTTATTCTCCCCTCTGTTCCCACTGACCTACTGTTTCTTCTTCTCTAGAGCTGAACTGTTTTAATTGCTTTACATTTTAAAATCTTTTAGGGCTAATTCCCCATCCATTATACATGACAGCCTTTTAGTTAAATTGACCTACAGAAACACTGATCAGGGGCCATGGAGATTGTCCTGGACTACAGATATAGGCATTCTAGTTTCTGTAAAGGTGCCCTCCTCACCAACCTTGCCATCTCTAATCTTAAATTAATAAATTGAATTGGGATTATTAGTAAGTCTCTTATAAATTGGTTAGCAAGAATCAGGGCTCACTTACAGTCTTACTTACTTGGGCAACCCTGGTAATTCGGAGTTTCTAGATTTAAAACAGAAGTATGAACGATGCTAAAGTCTTTTTAGCTGGAACAAATGGACTATGTGCAGTGAAGCCCATAAGACATTAGGATACCATATTTTGATTCATATGAAGGAGCAGGGTATAAATGAGATGTAATATTGGGGGTAAAATCCAGGGCAGGTGAAAAGAACACTTAGAAGGGATAAAATAGGCAAATTCTACCAAGACAATCTATACAAATAAAAGGGTAATATGCTAATTAGACCAGGCATCTTCCGGACAATCTTCCAGATGTCCTTCTGGACAAAGCCACGGTGGCGGGGCCAAGGCAGAGGCAGTTAGGGGCGATCAGGCCAGCAGGGGAGCAGTTAGGGGCATCAGGCAGGCAGGCAGAGTGGTTAGGGGCAATCAGGCAGGTGAGCGGTAAGGAGCCAGCAGTCCCGGATTGCGAGAGGGATGTCCGACTGCCAGTTTTGGACATCCCCCAAGGGGTCCCAGATTGGAGAGGGTGCAGGCCAGGCTGAGGGACACCCTCCCCCCTGCATGAATTTTGTGCTCTGGGCCTCTAGTATTGTATAATGGTTAAACGCACAGACTTTAGGTTGGGACTGCCTGGGTCTGAATCCCTGCCCTATAACTAACTAGTACATGTCCCTGGGGCAGTTACTTTACTCTATGTCTCAGTTTACTTTATTTATTTATTTTTTTATACATTTTATTGATTTTTTTACAGAGAGGAAGGGAGAGAGATAGAGAGTTAGAAACATCGATGAGAGAGAAACATCGATCAGCCGCCTCCTGCACATCTCCTACTGGGGATGTGCCCGTAACCCAGGTACATGCCCTTGACCAGAATCGAACCTGGGACCTTTCAGTCCGCAGGCCGACGCTCTATCCACTGAGCCAAACCAGTTTCGGCTCAGTTTACTTTAAATGGGGATAATAATAGTATCTGTCTTATAGTGTTGTTGTAAGGATTAAATTAGTTACATAAAGCACTTATAACAGTGCCTCGCACACAGAAATTAGTAGGTAAATAACTGCTACATTATAATGGTCTAAAATGGTAGTTAAGCAAAAAGAACTTAGGCTGGGAATTTATTTTCAAAGTTTCCAATGGATCTCTCAGACAGGTAAGAGTTTAACTAAGCCAGTTCAGTATTAATACATGTTGCTAGTTATTACCCCTTTTTTCACTGTAGATAACTAGCCATCTACATTTGAGCTATAAATCTGAAAAGGGAAAAGGGAAAGGCAATACTGAAGGTATGTTTGAAGAGAATTTTTAAATTGTTCACTTGGGTAGTATTAATTTTTCACAGAAGTTCCTACTTTCTCCAGTGAATTTCGGTAGGTGCTGTGTGCCATACAAAGATAATAAAAACAGTCCCAGCTTTCTAGCATATTTGAAACTAATGGCATTAAAACGAGACATGGGTGAGTTTTTGCTGAGGGTCACACTGAGCTGTGAGCTGCCTCAGGGTGTTTTTTAGGAGTCAGCAACGTGGCAGAAGACATCAAGACAAAAATCAAGAATTCTGACTGCTCCTTTTGACAGCTGCTTCCCTAACCAGAAGCAGGCCGGGAACTATCGGCAGAACTACTCGGACTTCCGCCCCTGTGAGAAGGCAATGACCGCTAACGGGGGGTGGGGGGTGGGGGGTGGGGGTGATGTCTCTGTTTGCGAATGGTCCACATCCTGGGTGGAAGCTCTGTTTGTTTACATTTCTGTATCCCTGTGTTTGTTGCCAATCTGAGTAAGTCACAAGGCTCTGTGTTGTCTATTTTATTTTATAACTTTCTTCCCAACTATTAAAATCAAAGAAACTCTTAGAAAAACAAAAAATGAGCAGAAGGCACATTTCCTGGGAAGATCTGAACTGGCCCCCACCCTGATACTCCTCTGTCCTCACCTTTCTCCCAGGATAGTGAAGGGGAACCTGGGTACATCCCACCCTAGGATCCTGAATCATAGGTTAACTAATAATAAATACTTGCTGGAAAAGCGTTAAAAAAAATACATGGTGCTTTTTTCCCCCGCCATTGATCCGTGCCGCCATAATGGTGCGCATGAATGTCCTGGCTGATGCTCTGAAGAATATCAACAATGCCGAAAAGAGAGGCAAGCGCCAGGTTCTCATCAGGCCGTGCTCCAAAGTTATTGTCTGGTTTCTGACTGTGATGATGAAGCATGGTTACATTGGCGAATTTGAAATTATTGATGCCCATAGAGCTGGGAAAATTGTTGTGAACCTCACAGGCAGGTTGAACAAGTGTGGAGTAACCGGCCCCAGATTTGATGTGCAGCTCAAAGACCTAGAAAAATGGCAGAACAACTTGCTTCCGTCCCATCAGTTTGGTTTCATTGTACTGACAACCTCAGTGGGCATCATGGACCATGAAGAAGCAAGACAAAAACACACAGGAGGGAAAATCCTGGGATTCTTTTTCTAGGGATGTAATACATATGTGGAAATAAAATGCCTCAAAGGACAAAAAAAAAATAAAAATACATGGGCATTAATGAGAGATTCACAATACTTACAGGAAGGGAAGAGCCCATGTATGGGGTGGGGATGAGAATAAACTTGAACAATTTTATAGCGAAGACAGTATTTGAGCATTTTTAGTTTATACTTGAAGTATACAGTACATTTTAAAGATAATTTTCTATGCACTGGAAATGGAATAAAACAGTTAGGAAATGAAGGGTTTGGAAATCGCAGAGAAAATTCTGGTATTTCAAATAGTCCAGTTTGATGAAAGAAATGGATAAGAGAATGATGAACGATCTGGCTACAAAGGTAGGCTGCAGCAATGTTGAGGAAGTTGATTTCATTTCTGAGCACAGAAATAATGTGTAAGTATTGAATAAGATGGGTTATTACTAGAAAGGTTATTGTAATTATGGGTGAGAGATATATCCAAACATCATCCATAGTTCTGAATATACTTAAAATGTATCTTTTCATGTATAAATACTAAGGAATCTTTAATAAAACATATATACAAGAAATAATTCAAAAAAAGAGAAGTCATTCATATTTGACAATGCTCATCAGACACACTTCATGCCTTTTCAACAGGAGGGAAATCAGCAGGTAATCTCAATAGCTCTTCTACTTCTTCTTGCAAAGCCTCTGCTTTTTCATGCAACAGCATCTACAATAAAAACATCAGGACATGAGACCAAAATATTCAATGCTAGAGAAATGCTACCATTTTTACTACCTGAATCCTTACACATCAGCAATCTAGACATTAAAACTAATAAGAGATGGAAAAATGGCCACTTAAGAAAAAGTGATTATAGTAAGTGAAGCTGAAGCATTTAGTTAAAGCCATTTTAGCTGATTGCTCCATTTGGTATGCCAAAAATAAAGGAGCTCTAAAACATGATTTGTTTTATTGGAGACTCAGCCACTTAAAAATTAACTTTTAATCTATAAAATCTAAGACAATTTTACAAAAATTTAATTAGCTCTTGAAAATGTTATCCTTCATATATGCATTTTATTACTCCTCAAAATTTAGTATGCTATCTTTTAAAAACCTATAACTTTTTCAAAGAAAAATTTTATTCAAGTTCCTAAAATTAATAGTTAACCCCTTGAGTGCCGGGAAGCGCAATCGCGCTCCTCCCGTCTTTCGCCAAAATGCCGGGAGCGCTATCAAAGCTTTGAAATGGCGTCCAGTTCTAAGTCTGCTTTTATTAGTGATGATGATATTGTTAAATATGTCAATGTAGTAAAGGTTTCCTTAAGTTTTTGAATATGTAACTTCATTTACTTGCGATTCATAATTTTTTTCCTAAACTGCTGTAAAATCAGCAAAAATGCCTTGGCAATTTTAGCACAGTTCCTAGGATATTGGTTGGCACTCAAAGGGTTAATTTTGAAAGAAACATAATGAGAAAAGAAAGCATTTCTAAACATGGAGCATAGTAGACATAAATGAATATTTAACAAGTAATGACTCTTTCTTTTAGAAACCAGAAGTAAAATGTCGGTATCTGTTTTAGCTGGCTTCTGTGTATATTGTAGTGAAGTATTTGCACTACTTCTGTTACAAAGTATTATAATAAAAAGTTTAGCAAAATCACAGAGGGGAAAAAAAGTCATATGATGCAAAGTGAAAGTGAAAAACCCACTCCCTACCAATTTGACACACCCATAGCATTACATAGCATTATATATATAAAAAAGACTAAAACGTAATTAGGTAAGCTTTCCAGCAGCTGAGGTAAGGGTGACCATGTGAAATGAATCTCCCAACACATCCTCTAAAAACTATACAGATCAACAAGTAAACCACACAAAACTCTTGTGTCAGCATTACTAGAACGCAGAGAACACCGTCAGCTTCAAATTACCTATGGTTAAAAAAATCCACCAGTTATCAAAAAAATTGCATAATCTCAATATAATCCTAACTAGTTTCCTCATTTCCATCCTTGCTCTCCTATTTGCAACCTCTGACCTACTCCTCTGCTCAAAATCCTGCAAGGAGTATCTATTTTTCTCTTTCAAACTGTCTGGAAAGTGAAAGAAGTGGCGGGAACCAGAGCATGTATCTTAGTTCATAAGGTGGAAGCCATGTATTGAGAATGAGACAGAAGTAGGATCCCTGGATACAATACTGATTCCCACAAGAGCTATAAATTGCTTGTGCTTGAATTTGTCTAATAAACTTTTAAAGTTTAAAGTAACTTCTTTTGGCCATTGTTACTACAGCTCCATTTGTATCCCCAATGATATACAGTCTAACTCCACGGTCCTGGCTCTACTACTTACTTAGCTATACTTCCTTGGGTAAATAACTTAATTTCTTCAAATCTCATTTATTTATTCAAATACATATTAAACGCCTACTCTAGGTTGAGTACTGTGCTAGCTGCCATTGCAATGGAAATGACTATAACTCCATCCCTGCCAATCCCAAGAACTTCTAATCTAATGGAACAAGGTCAGTTTTAGTGCCGTCAAATTGAAGGTAACACCATCTCTGTACACCTCACAGGACTATTGTAAAGATCAAAGAAAGTAATATAAACAATGTGAGCACCATTAAAAAAAAGTAAGATGGAAATTAACTTTTAGCTCATTCTGATCTGTATATGATCATATTGTAACAATGACGTTTTCTAAAAAAGCCAAGCAATTTCAGGCTACAAGAATGGAACTATAGTTAAAATCAGGAGGGGAAAAACCCAAATTGCTGTGGAATGGCTTTACCCACATTGAACTGGAGGATAATGATACATATGATTGCATCAGGCAAAGGGCAACTAGGACAATAGATTATTTAATGCAAATGAAAGAAACAGAAAAGAGAAACCCTTGTTAGCAGTGAGAACTGTTTTTCAATATGTGAAACACTAATAAAGGAATAGAATAGTTCCAGATGGTAGTATTACAATGCAACGGTCAACATTTTAAGAAGACAAAATTGAGCCTCATTATAATGGGATGCTTTTTGTTATACTAAGAGTGACCAAAAATAGAACTACGTGAATTTTGAGGTTGTAAGCGCTTGTCAATGAAGGTATTCAAAGGTGGGAAGACCAGATGTTGAGAGTGCTGAGGAAAGGACTTCTGCGAAAAGGTTGTAAGGAGGCCAAATTCAATGAGTTCTAGGCTTCCTTATACTTCAGTGAACTCTTGAAACTGTTTTTAGAAAGTCATTTTTCTCTTTATAGCAAGTCTTGTATCATAACAAATGCACTATTTTTACCCACATATTATGAATTTATACTTTTGTGTCTATTGTTAAATGTGTTTTTTTTCATGTCTCAGATATAAGGCGATAACACCACAAAACATTATAAAGGTTAAAAAATGGTTTGCTTACCTTTGCTGATGAAACAATTTGCTTGGCCTGGCGTCTTGATAAATGATCAATTGTCTTTATTAGCACTTCAGGATTTGCATTAGCTAAGTGTGCTAGACTTTTATAACCTGCATTGTATAACTGTTTTGCCCGACCCTGAAAAATATTCCAAAAATCAGTAGGCTCAGAATTTGGGATTTAGAAAAAATAATTAAATGTCTTGTTGAAAAAAAATTTCACATGATATATATATATCCGATCTAATAAAAGGGTAATATGCAAATTGACCATCACTCCAACACACAAGATGGCTGCCCCCATGTGGACACAAGATGGCTGGCAGAGGAGGGCAGTTGTGGGCAATCAGGCCAGCAGGGGAGGGCAGTTGGGAGGGCCCAGGGCTGCAGTGGATGGCAGTTGGGGGGGGGGGGGACCAGGCCCTCAGGAAAGGGCAGTTTGGAGGGACCCATGCCTGCAGGGGAGGGCAGTTGGGAGTGACCAGGTCTGCAGGGGAGGACAGTTAGGGGTGACCAGGCTGGCAGGGGAGGGCAGTTAGGGGCAATCAAGCTGGCAGGGGAGCAGTTAGGCATTGATCAGGCTGGCAGGGGAGTGATTAGGGGGTGATCAGGCTGGCAGGCAGAAGTGGTTAGGGGCAATCAGGCAGGCAGGCAGGCGAGTGGTTGGGAGCCAGCAGACTGGGATTGGGCCTAAACAGGCAGTCGGACATCCCTCGAGGAGTCCCAGATTGGAGAGGGTGCAGGCTTGGCTGAGGGACACACACCTCCATGCACGAATTTTGTGCACCAGGCCTCTAATATGTATGTATGTGATATATATATATATATATATATATATATATATATATATGTAAAATATACTAAAATAAATAAAGTAAGAATGAAGAGATAACATATCAGAATCCAGAGGAATTTTGTACTGAATTTTGTATTGTATTAAAAGATGTATTTGAATGGTTCCAATGTGACTGCAAGATAGCCTTCTGTGCAGTGTAAGTCATCTGATATGTGTTGCAATGAGCAATGAGAAATACATTATGGCACTTAGGCTAGGGGCATTATTTCAGACACCAATCAAAATATTCTAGTCTAATATACTTAAAATGTTCTTGCCACCTACTTGGGGGACTACAGAGTAGTAGTGTGGTGTGGTGTGGGATGGGGTGTGGAGTGGTGTGGTGTGTGTGTGTGTGTGTGTGTTCCCAAGTTCTCTAATTCGAGAACTGAATAACAGAGAATAAACTTAAATTAAGGGTTGGTCAAAACAGAAAGCTGAAAAACCAGCTGAGAATACTTTCTTCTCACTCTCTTCAAAACCGTGAGTAAGCCTTGTTAGCACCGAGTCACCACTACCTTAAATAAGCACGGAGTCTAAACCGACAGAAGGTAATTCTCCACTGGAGTGGAGGAAGGAAGATGCTAAGGATGAGCACACGTATACTTGGAGAGTGTCATCTTATCCCTTATGTTATTTTTTTTTCTCACAGTTGTGCTTCTGAATTAATGGGATTTCTAGGAAGCCACAGCAGCAATTTACTTTGAAAAAAGAAAACAGAAAAAAAAAAAGACTGCCATAAGGATGTTGTTGTCACTTACCCTGTGACAAGACTTTGCAGTTAGTTGAAATCATCTCAACTGGGAAACTGG